GATTTGCATGCAACAGTTTTTCGTGGCTGGCGGTGTCACCCTGACCTGTGTGTGGCTAAAAGCACACCATGCGTCCACAAACGAAAGGGCTGTCTTGGGGAAATACATCGTGAAAAGAAGCGTATTCACAAGGATAGGTGATGCGGCTGCTGCGAATTATCAAAAGTTTGCGGATTTTGATGTTGTGCAGCCTTTTTTGTATGTTGTGCCTTGCTTGAGGGCGGAAAAATAGTGGAAAGTCCAACTGACACACGAAGTCGACGCAACAGGGTGCGGAAAAGAGGAAAGACAAGAAAGGATGACCAAAACAAGCGCGGAGCATGAGGTAGAGTCCGGAGGTGAAACACAGGATCAACACGTACCGTCCCTCGTATTGGCGATAAAAGCTTTCTTTCTGGTTCCATCTGATGATCCAACTGTCAGCAGATATCTAACGTGGACCGACTGAAGAGGCGAAGATGGCACGAAATAAACAAGACGGATGGACCAAAAACAGAATGAAAAGGTGAAACGATAAACGACCCCGGAACAGAACGAAGAGTTCGGAAATGACACACGAAACTCGAGACAAAAAAACGCACAGCGCTCCTAGTCGAGACAATGGATTATTCCTGTCAAAGCTACCCAAACAAAACAACCGTCAGAGACGCAAAATCGTGCCCCCACTAGGTTGGCGCTACAGCGAACTGACCGCCGTGCTTGTGTGAAGGGAGGCCGGTCACCTCGCACACCCAACAGTCAAAAATCAACAGCCCGACACCACCATGCGACAACTCGCGTGAGATTCATGCCCGGAATTTCTCAACCCAAACAAGGCGGGCTAGGCCATGCCATGCCAGGCCAGTACCGCCGCTGCTCAGCCACTTCACCGGCCCATCCCTCCGTAAAATCACAACACGAGGAAACGTTACCGAGGAACTTAAAGAAGACACAGCAAGAGCGACAGCACAACGGACAATGGTGGTCGAAAACAGCAAACTCCGAGGTCACGAAACGCGAGGTACTTGTTACCCATCTAGTCAACGGAGATAACACCAGACTGCACGCCGCCCTGCGACAGGGCGGGAGCTCCCTGAGACAAGGTGGGCGCTCCCTGCGACGATGCGGGCGCTCCCTCCGACGATACGGGCGCTCCCTTCTACGATGCAGGCGCGCCCTCAGACAGGGCGGGCATCAGGCGGACGTTGTAGGAGGACGACGAAGCGTGCTCTCCCCTGGATGGGATCCTCTTCGTCCTCGAGGGCCCCTTTTTCTTGGGGCGACCAGCCTGGTTGGGCACCCAGGCCGGAGGAAGAATGTCCACGTCAACCGCCAGCTCATCAGGCACCGGCAGCTGCACCTCGAACCGGCTGTCCGCGTACAGGGCTCGGTAGGTGTCGAGGTGGTAGGCCGGGTCGATGTTTGACATCATCTCGTCGGACTTGTCCAACGCTGCGTCATTGACAAAAATAAGGGCAGGGCCGGGCGGTGGAGGAAAAGGCACATACATGAGTGTCATGCGAGGCATCGACATGGCAGGATTTTTCTTTCTTTCAAGTTGTCCGCCAACGCAGTCCCGACGAAGAGCACTGACTGAACGCAATCCTAGTGTTCCAGGACAGCGTCTATCACCCGTTCGTGCTTCCTGGAAAATAAGCTCAAACGCGTCTCCCAACTTTCACGGCGGGATGAGCGGGACGGCGGGCCACTGCGGGCTGTGGCAACACTTGACTCAGCAACACTGCACCTCTTTTCGCCGGTCAGACCGGGCTGCGCCACACTGATAATACGAATGCCGAAACTGTCACTGCTCACCTCGCCCGACGGCGATGATATCGCAGCACGGGATCTTGAATCGAGTCGTGTAGCCGCACGTGCAGGTCATGCGAGTCACCACGCCATCTGTCCCGAACTCCAGCCCCGCTCGGTTGCCGTAATTGCTGCCTAGTTTGCGAACAGTGAAGTTGCCGTTCCCGGTGGCGCTGGAGTGCAGGCTGTGATACGAAGACGAGCGCGAGTCGTGGGATGGACAGCAAAGGACGAAATTAGGTTGTTGTATAGTTGCCGTAGAAGGCAGACACGTCAACCCCAGCGTTAACAAAACATAAATCGGCGGAGAGATGGCAACGGTCAGAGAGGCTATAACCCGGTACCCACAACAAACAACGCCAACAACCAAACGAAGGTGAAGAAACAAGAACGGTATGATTGTATTAGATTTTTGCACCGGCGTCGGAGAAATCTCCTTACTCCAAACCCAGGATTGGCGTCTTTTCGAGCTGCCGGGAAGAGGCACAAGTATATATGGTAACATACATGTGGACCATGTGGGGACCGTGTCAGCGAAGCTGAAAGACTTGACGGATTTGTTTTCGCTTTTGAATTGAATGGAAGTTCCCAACCGGATACTCACCCAAGCACGCAACATATGCATACAACCCGAAACTACTGCTGCTGGCGTGTGTGCGCAACAGGGCCTCATGGGTATGTTACTGGAGATAGCACCGGCCATTTACATCGCACCGGGGTGCCTCAAAAAACCTCAGCGATATCATGGATTTGTGGAAGGCCCTTTGTGGAATTTACGCACCGGGGGCGAAGAGATGGCGCCGGGGTGCCAAAAAAGCGAAAAAAATGTGTCAAACAACGATTGCACGTGTCATCTCGCCGCCTTCTACGGGACATGTATCAATGAAGCCACTTAAAACGTCTAGATGCAGACTGACTTTGTCCCGAAACGCTTAGCCAAATGCCTCGTGGAGAACGGTAGCACAAGCCGTCTCCTCGCCAGTCGCAGGCGATGGTCTGTACCACATACTTGCTGGACTTCGCGCGCTGAGCCTCGAACTCCTTAGCGGCGAAAGGGGTAAACCTCTGCGAGGCGCTGTTGACGCGTTCAGCCCTTTCTGCCATCTGGGAGGCGGTCTTGTCCAGGATGTGCTGGGCCATATGTAGGGCGGCAACTTCCTCCCCTGTGAATGAAGTAACGGCGACACTGTTAGGACCTTGGTGACGAGAGAAGATATCTTGACTCGTTTTGGCTGCTGACATCATTCCCGATTCTTGACGTCCTCAAGCACGACGTCTTCCCTGTCGTGCTTGCTTGGTGGCCTGTACAAGACGTGCGCACTTCTTATGGTGAATGAGAGCAGTACTAATGTGTGAAGACATTTTGACACGAAGGGCGAAAGCCGCCGCACCCTGCGTCTTGAGAAGGTCGACCTACCATAACCTACAAAGGTCGGCACGCCGTCGACCTAAGGGAGAGTTAGTACCACGTCCGCCGCCCCGTCAACGTCTCTCGCCCTCACCATTCCTCAACATCACTCGCCCTCACCATTTCTCAACGTCACTCTTGAAACAACCACGCTGTCGAAGATTCGGTCCGCGTGCTCGCCACCAATTGAAAATACTACTCAACACGATGGGGTGATGAGGCCACACAAAAGCACGCTCGACTCGCCAAGAGTAGAAAGAATCAAGTTGTCTCTAACTGCGTTCGCCGAGGACATATTTCGACAGCCGTCACTTGGGACGTTGGTCGAACAAACGCTAAAACAGCTGTTAGGACACCCGTCCAACCCCTACGAACAATCAACCCTTACCTGCAGGCCTACCATAACCATGTTTTGCTCGGCCGCGTTGGACGACACGACACCCCCGATGGCTGTGTCGGTGGGTCCAGCGTGGTGCGTCCACTTGACAAGTTCGTGGGGTTTGTTCGGGTCCAATAGAGCGGCGTAGGCTTTCGGCTTCGTTGGCTTGACCTTGGTGTCCATGAACTTGGTGCGGGTTGGCGCCCTGGCTGCGTGGTAGAGCCAGTGGGTCACAGTCTACCGAGGCAAACGAGAGCACATGAAAAGTCGGGAGAAGAACAGGATGTCAGGACACGCATTCTGTTTTGAGCGAAAAGCTACGGGCCTGCTAGATCGTCGCAGGAAATATACGGTATGGGTGTTGCAACTTTGGGAAGAGTGGAAACCAACACAAAGTAATGCCCAACATCAGGTCAAAACACTTACACATTCAACACAAATAGGATACACAAGCTTAGATTGGATACAACTACAAGACTCCAACTACAAAGTGCACTGTTGCATGCTTGGCACAGCAGCTACACGTGACTTCGGCACATCTCAATGAAAAGTTGTGGTACACATTCGTACCCCTTTTCAACCCAAGGTTTTCGTCTGACAACACACGCACCCACCGGTTTTAAGCAGAGGAATCTGCACGCGAATGTCAACCAAACCCTCCAAAACTCGTGCCCAAGATTTATGGATTTCCCCCGTGCCATCGCAAGTGCTCTCCATGCTCAGTATGAGATAGCACCGTATTTTGGAAATCGTTTTCGACGACCGCCCAGCCCCACGAAACAGAGAGGCATCGTTTCATCAACTCTTAACTTTGCTGCTGCTGCCGTACATACAGTTATGGATATAAAGGTTGCGAAGTGGTCATGAGGGGGAGAGACTTGAGGGTGTAACCCATCCTAAGGCTGTTTGCTACCGGGAGAGAGGAACGGCACGAACACACACGCTCTGTGACTGACGTCTATCTTGTCAGCCGGTTGGTGCGGTCGATGCAATTAATACATGGTGAAAACACACAAGGCACGTCGGGTTGGTAGGTTGTAGTCCTTTCCCGGGCGAGAGGCAGCCGCAAGGGGCGAGCAATGTACTGCAGCTGAAATGCACAGGAGATAAACGTGCACACCCGCCCGAGCAGTACATACGAGGCGAACTTCACAAGATGTCGGTCGTGGGTGGGCTTTTGGTGTTGCAAGAATTCAGGGGGACAAAGACAGACAGGCTCTTCGGTTGTGACGAGAGACAGGACAGAGGAACCTGCACTTTGTGTGTACTTCCATCTTTCGAATACAAAGAGAAGGGTGTGAGTCGTATGTTGTACAGGTGAATACACTTTTACACTTGTGTGCGAAGTGCCTACACCAACAGAGGCACAGGGTCACAACTCCTCTCACCTGTCCAGGGGCCTCGGGAAGTGCTTTGATGTGATGACGAAGGCACCACCTCCACACAGTGTTGGGCGCGTGAAGGGTGATGGCAGGTTCGTGCGACTTGTGCTTGTCCGTGAAGAGGGTGGTCTTCGGGCTGTTGAGTACCTCCGCCATGTCGACGTTGTTCTTCATCATCAAGTAGAACCACGAGTAGTTGTCGGTGTTCTCCTTGTCGCAGATGCTGGTCGCAACGTGCACCAGCTTGGTGTCGGCGTCCGTGCCCGTCGCGACCAGCATCATACCGTTCCAGTCGCCCTTCAAGTGGCCAGCATCCACGCAGAGTACCTATTTCACAAACAAAGAAACGGGCGTGCTGGGGAATACATGGCCGGGTCGGCGAGAGAGTCGGGTGATCTGGTTCGGTCAATAGGCACCGCTCCCGCCCATACGCAGCTGCAGTGGTCCAAGGTGATTGGTTCGCGGCACGTGTGTTGGACCAAATAAAGTACGCGTACGGTGGGCCAAGGAAACCAAGCGTGTCAACCTAGCGAACCACGCGGGGGGGGGGATGTCTGGGAGGCGGGGCTACCCCACGTATGCCTTGCATCATGAAGCAAACTACGCGTACGATAGACCAGGCAAACTTCGCGGGTGGTGTGACCCAGCATGCAACGCGTACTGGTGTGACCCAGCATCCAACAGACTGGTGTTGCTGTGACCCACCATACAAGAGAGACTGTCATGACCATGCAGAAAGCAGAGCAGAGGAGACAATCACACTGGTGTGCACATGACCCTCATCGAACACACATTCACAGCTACCGCTGCTGATTGGTGCACACTATTGTATCTCTCAGAGCTGTGTGTAACTGTCGCTGTGTGTGTAGGTCTGTACATGTTTCTAGTAGCGGTACAGCAGGAGCTGCTGCGTTCACGCCGCACGCATGTATGGGGCGGAATCCCCACATACCCCCCATTTCAACAATTCTTTGAGCAGCAGGGGGGGGGGGGGGCAACACCTCCGGACATGTCTCGCTTCATTGTACCCGGGGCTGCGGGACGCGTATCCCCGGCAAAGCAAAACGCCCATACAACATGTTCGTGGGTCTACGGACATGGTGGATACATTACCCGTACGTACAAGTGTGACGCAGATGGTGTAGAACCTTAAGGTAGGGGTACGGTGATGAAGCACCGGGACCCCCGTTGTTGAGTGCAGCAGCTGTGCTGCTACTCTCTCTCTCTCTCTCCTCCTTTCCGAGCACGACAGCGTCCTGGGTACGGGCGTTGTCTCACCGTCTGAAGTTAATACACTACACAAACAAGTCCCGATAAGTACGCGGAGTACGGCCGACAAACACTCTAGAGTTTGTTTGTCCCTCGAGGGATAGCCGCATCGGGTCATGTCTGCGTCGGACA